CATGACTTCCACTGAGGAAGTCTTACAGTATTCTGGGGTTTGATGCAGTTAACACAATATAATCCATAGCTTTTATCATCTGTAGAGAAGTTCTCTTTCATTGAGATTTTGTTTAAGATGTGCCTTACACAAGACAAAGGAAAACACCTCTAGCTAGCTAGCATTCATCTTCTTGTTTCATGCCTTCCTTAATATTGATAGAGGATCACTGAACAAAATTATCTCTACCCCTGTCAAGTTGTATTGGAGGAGAGCCTTTAAGTTTTCATTCTATAGAATAAAATAATGTTAATAATGAACAAACTAAACAACAGTGAAACTTGTATTCCTTATGCCTTTTAGTCAATTGTGTGCCTGAAGATGTGGAGAAAATTGTTTGCAGAGCCTACCTTTTCCGTTATCTTGTTTCTTCAAGGAAACTCTCGATGTACATGTTTATCATTGTCATAGGAGTTTTTGAAAATAGGCCTGTTACTTGAGAAAATAGACATATGATTGGTGGTTGTTGATGTTTTCTTGATTGCCCCTTTGATGATAATACGTCTGTAATTTTCTCCAATTATTTAATAACTTTCCCTCTTTCAAATATTTTAGAAATCCTTCCTTAATTTCTTTCAAAAGCATTTATTTTTCAATACAAATCTCTTTTATGTGTTCTTAATCCATTCTAACTACTCTTTCTAATTCCATTTTCCTTAGTTACTATTTGCACTTTTCTTGACCATATCAAGGCTTAAGAAGTTAATCTCTATTTCATGGTTCCTCTGTGATAGATGAAAATAGGTGACATAGTTGTTCTATTTAAAATCTATTTGTTGTTCTATAAGTTTTATTATAAGTGTTTTTGAGGCAGTCTGGCTTAGTTATGTCTCACATCAAGCCTTCCAACCAGTTTTCTTCTTTGCTATTCTCTGTTGTCCTCCTATAATATTTCACAAATGAGGTTGTATTATAAACTGGTATTGTACTTGGCTATTATGTTTCATAGCAAAGAAATCATATGTTTACTGTCTGAGAAAGTTTCAAGGTTCTTTTGACCTCTTTGGTATGATGCCTTATATCAGTTTAGCTTCTGTAAGAAGTGGTGGTAATAATGAGTGTCAGTGTCTTTTCCTTTGTCTGTTCCCCATTTCCCCCATTTTCTAGCACTAAAAACTTGTTTGACTAAGTTATGTTGAAGCTTTTTTAATTATTTACATGTCATCTTCTGATTCTTCTTGTTTGCCTTTTGTTCTGATAGTTGGACTATATGCAGATAGCAGATTCAGAAATGGCTCCCTTATCAATAACCACTTAACTTCTGTTAAAATGTAGGCAGTTTCATGATGTTATTCAGCATATAACAGAAAGAAGTATGCTTGTCAAAGTTGTTTGCCACTGTCATGAAGAGAATCCAAGTGGAATACGGATTCTCTATAAATAAAGGCACCTACAGATGCCTTTACAAGGATTATATTGTGTCAATTACATGATGCCCTGGAGCACCTCAGAGTCTCCTAAACAAGATCTATAATTACTCAGAATAGTTCAGTTCAAGTATCACCTTCTATACAATGCCTTTCCTGATCCCCACAGCTGCTAATGTCTTCCCTCACAAATTATTTTGTTTATACTTATAGATGTACATATCTCCTTCAATAGAATATAAGCTTCTTTTGGGCAGAGATTATTTCATTTTTATCCCTCTCATTTAAAACAGTGCTTGACACATAATAAATACCTCTTGATCAATTAATTAATCCAACCTCTCAAAACTGGAAAAATCAACTGTTATGGAAAATGTCTCTTGTCCAGATTATTATATGCAGTTGGATGAACAAAGTAAAGAGCTTGTCTATCAGTAATATAACTCAGAGAGACATGGCAGATGGATAGTAAACTGGGTCCAGAATTGAGTAAGAGGAAGAGAACAGACAGAAATATATTTGGGAAACAGAAGTGACATTGTTATTGGAGCATACTACACGCCACCTGGACAGAAAGAGGAATTAGGTGAGGAGTGTGGAAAATAAATCATAAACCTGGACTGGAGGCATGATAGAGTAATGATTGGGTACTTCCATTATCCAGACATCTATTAGAGCTCTCTCTGCCCAATGCAGGCCAGCTAATAGTTTTTTTTGGCTTGATTTAATGATGATTTCGTCCTTTAAAAAAGTGGGGGAAAGCAATGAGAGGAACTGCTGTTTTGGATTTCATTCTAACCAACAAGGAGGAACTGGTTGTTAGGGTGTTAATAATGGGAACCACGAAAGGAAATGACTGTTCCATCTTAAATTTGTGCTAGAGAAGGAAAGGAAAGCTGGTCATAGTCTAGTATATCCTAGATGTGGGAAGACAAGATTTAAAAGCATTCAGATAAAAGTTAGGATCAGATGGACTAACGTTCTCTTGGGAAAATCAGCCCAATTGGCGTAGGAAATTCTCAAGAATAAAATTCTAAAGACGCAGAGATCATTTCACTGAGGAGGAAAATGGGTGTATTGTTTAAAATGATTAATAAGGCTGCTCAGAAAATTTATTAAACAACTTAGGTTTACGAAATATAGATAAGATAGAAGCAATGGCAGGTAATAGAGGATGAATTTTTTTATATGTGGTGTGGTCCTGTAAAATTGGTATGAAAAGTCTAAAGCCAAGAATGGGTTGGAATTGATGAGGAAAATTGAGGACAACAAAAATATTTAGTTTTTTCTTTTTGCTAAATTGGAGAAAAAAAGATTAAAAATTACTTTTTTGGGGAGGATGAGTTGATAATGGAATGAAAGCTGTTTAGTTCTTACTTCTCTTTTGATTTTCTCTACCAACAAAAATGAACTTTAGACTACAAATGAATAAAAGTGACTGGTAGGGAATTAATGCCTTATTATAAGTAGGAAGATGCTAAAGGACTATTTAGCTATCTTTGATAAGTCCATGTCATTAGATCCAGGTAACCCATAGGAAATAATTGGTGGGAGTAATTGTTGAAATGTGCATAAATTATGTTATTAGCCTCTATAACTTTCAGTGATCTTTGAAAAGTCATGTAGAATAAGAGAGATACCTCAAGTACTGTAGGATTAGAGAATATTCCAGTCTCCCCTTCCTTGATTCTGACAATATTGTAGGCCCTGGATAATTGGATCTTAGTTATTAAGGAGAGGCAGCCATTATTTTGTATATGAGTTCATTGAGACTGTGATAGTCCCTAATGTAGCATAACTAAGTTTAAGCACAAAAGAGATCTCTTGGTAGTATTTGACATTGCTGACTATTCTCTCTTTGTTGATATTCTCACATGTTGCCTTCAGAGATATTACGCTCTCCTGGTTACCTTCCTACCATTCTAACAATTCCTTTTCTATATCTTTCATTGGCTCCAAGTCTTCTTTATAAAACCTTTAAGGTATATATTCCCCCAAATTCTGCCATTAGTCCTGGCTTTCTTGTCTTATTCTTCCATGGCAGTCTCATTTACCCTCCTAACTTCAGCTATTACTCTGACACAGATGACTAACAAATCTACATCTTTGGTCTTCACTAGAGTTCTAGTTCCAAACCTCTATCTCTGGCTGCCAACAGGACATTGCTACCTGAATGTCCCATTGGTACCCTAAACTCTTCATGTCCATCATCATCCTCATCATCGTCTTATAAGTAATGTATCTAATAATCTTGTTATATGTAATGCATATAATAAATCTATACATGGTACATATAATGATGATGATAAACAACTGAGCTTATCTTTCCTTCAAAACCTTTCTCCTAACTTCACTGTTGCTATCAATATCACTACCATTTTACCCATTCCCTCAATTTTTAAACTTGTTTTTTGACTCTCAAATCCAATTACTAAGTCCTTTTTGATTCTCCCTCTGTAGTATCTCTCTTATCTATCTCCCTCCTTTTTATTCCCATTTTCATCACTCTAGTCTAGGCCCTTTTTACTGCTCTGATTGATTGGTGGTAGCATCCTAACAGGTCTTCTTGACTCTACTCTCTTCTCACTCTAAAACTATCTTTTCTACTTTTTTTTTTGTTTTAGGCAATTGGGGTTAAGTGACTTGGCCAGGGTCACACAGCTAGTAAGTTATCTTTTCTAGTTTTGCTAGTTATCTTCCTTACAATTTTTCTGTTCAGGACCCTTCTGTAGTTTCCTACTGCTTTTGCCTGGCATTCAAGGCCTTCTACAATTAACATCACCTTACCTTCCCATCCTTCCCTTAAACTGTTACCTTGTAAGCCCTTTATATTCTAGCCATACTGGGTGGCGTCCTATTGTTCATACATGTCCTTTATTTTCTTTCCTCTGTTTCCTTGCTTCTGTTATTTGCTGTGCCTAGAATATCCCTTCTCTATACTTTCCTTGACCTGTTGAATTCTTACTCATCTTTTTGAAGCCCATCTCAAATTCATCCTTCTTCATAAAGCCTTACTTAATACCTTTTTCTCCTTCAGACTTCATCTAACATTTTGCTTGCATCCTTCTCACATGCATATCCTGTATTGCTTTCTACTGCAATCAGTTGTGTATGTGTCCCAGTTCCCTAATATATTGTAAGCTCCATGAGAACAGAAACTGTGTCTTATCTAACCTCAGTGTCTAGCACAGGTGCCTATACACAGTAGGTGCTTCACAAATGTTTCTTGAATTTTCTCACTGGATTTTATTAGCCTCTGGTAGAATGCTAATGAGTAATAACTTGCTGAATAATAGCCCCTGATTAAGAGTCGTCTGTAGTTTCCCCAAACTGGGAAATAGAGTTCTGGTCTAATATGTTCATGTGACTATATTAAATATAACATCTTGAAGGTGTCCCTCCGTCAACTAAAGTCAAAACATAATGCAGCCACAGTAGGTGACTAAAGGGATAAGTAACTTTCAGAAATTTTGAAAGCCTAGTAGTATTTAGTATGTGCTCTCTCAGCATTAGAAGGTCACCTTGTAAATATATGTTAATTTTGAACGTGTAATTGACCTTTGGAATTTTAATACCAACTTTTTTTGTGTTTAGAGGTTGGAGCAATTACGGAGGAAACTGAAGCCTGTGATTGGTGGAGCCTGGGTGCTGTCCTCTTTGAACTTCTCACTGGCAAGGTAAGTAGTGAATGACTCAGGCAACCTAACATATTTTACCCAGGGACAACCCTAATTTAAAAAGATCCAGAATTCTAGCCCTTGGTAATAATTTTTAGATCTGGAGCATAGTTACAAAAGGCTTTGTATTAGGAGCGAATAGAGAAGTATTACATTTTCTTGGTACCTAAATGAATTAGAGCTCCAAAATTTGAAAAAAAAATTAATTGTATCATATATAATACAGTAACAATAAACTCCTGGTCATAGCAATGACTGATGTGAAATATTGTGATCTGTGTTTAAAATTATTAATAAATGTTAAAACAAAATTCCCTGAATTTTCCATTGCATATAATTATACTGTTTAGTTGCTAATTCACTTCTAAGTCTTAATATAATACATTATGATAGAGTTTTAGAATTTTGCAAATAAGGCATTTTAAATATTGTGACCTAAAAATTGGGAAATACCCATCTTTAAGAAATTACTATATAATATTCACATTTATAAGTAAAGGTTTATCTTTTATGTTTATAAGTAAAGATTAATTTTTCTTAAATTTTTTTCATTACCTTTAGTTTAAAGTTGGTGTTTACACTCTCTTAGCACAATAACTTTTAAGCATGTTGCTTAAGGAAAATAGATTTTTAAAATATGCGATATATCATACCCTCTGGAAAGAAGACAGAGGAAATGAAGAGCCTTAGCTTTGTCAAGTACTAGTGTTTCTTGCTGAGCAATAAGGATTATGATATTCAATTAAATCAGTTTTAAAAAATTATACATTCCTTTTAAAAAAATTATTTATTTTTAGTTTTCAACATTCACTTCCATAAGATGTTGCGTTCTAAATTTTCTCCTCCTCGCTTCCCTTCCCCTTCCCCAAGGTGGCATGTAATCTGATACAAGCTCTACGTATATATTCATTTTAAACCTATTTTCACATTAGTCATGTTGTAAAGAAGAATTACAACCAGTGAGAAAAACTACGAGAAAGAAGAAACAATAACAACAACAACAAATAGAGTGAATAATATGCTCTGATCTGCATTCAGCCTCCATGATTCTTTTCCTGGATGTGCATAGCATTTTCCATCATGAGTCTTTTGGAGCTGTGTCAGATCCTTGCATTGCTGAGAAGAGCTAAGTCTGTCAGTTAGTCATAACACAATGTTGCTGTTACTGTGTACAATATTCTGGTTCGGCTCACTTCACTCAGCATCAGTTCATGTAAGTCTTTCCAGGTTTTTCATAATTCCACCTGCTCATAATTTCTTCTGGATAGTATTCCATCACGTTCATACGCTGCAACTTGTTCAGCCATTTCCCAATTGGTGGATGTTCCCTCAACTTCCAATACTTGGCCACCACGAAAAGAGCTGCTATAAATAAAAAATTATACATTCTTAAGCAGCTTCTGTACAGTTTGTGTGTAGAAGACAGACAACAGTTCTGTGAATGTGGGCAGCAAGATGGTGCCATGGATAGTGCACCAGGCCTGGAGCCAAGGAGACTTGAGTTCAAACCCAGCCTCAGACACTTACTAGCTGTTTGACCTTGGGCAAGTCACTTAACCTCTATTTGCTTAGTTTCTTCATCTGTAAAATGGGGATAATAATAGCACATATGTCCAGGGTTGTTGTGAAGATCAAATGAGATAATAATTGTAAAGTGCTTGTCACAGTGCCTGGCACATAGTATGTGCTATAATATATTAGCTATTATTATCATTATTGTCATCATCATCATCATTATTATTATTATTATTATTATTATTAACCCATGCTGGTATGGCAAGAGAAGAGATGAGAGATTTGGACACCTAATATAAACTTACATAGTGGCAAAAATATTTCTAGGAGAATTTTAAATAGTAAGGTGTTAAAGTAGTGCTGGATTTGCCTATTCTAGAGGAGTGCTTCCATTTCCATTTAGCAAAATTCAAAGTTAGAAATTCTCTTAACCTGTATTCCTGTGTCTGAACTATTTTGGTGATGCCATATAGATTATAGTGCATTTTGTTAATGTGTCTGCCACGCCTTCTGTGTTGGTCTGTCCATGAGTGCCAGGGTATAATAGATGATGATGTTGTGTGTGATAATAAGTGTCCCTGATTGGTTGTTTCAGACTCTGGCTGAATGCCATCCTTCAGGGATAAATACTCACACTGCTTTGAACCTGCCAGAATGTGTTTCCGAAGAAGCCCGGTCACTCATTCAACAGGTAATTTAATTGACTTAAGTGCCCAAGTATATCAAGTATGCAAATTAGCATGATCCCATAGATCCTTGGAACTTAAAATAAATTAAGTAATAATTTCAAATGCAAACTCTCACATTTTTACTCTTCTGCTTTAAGTTCTTGCTGTTACCATGATGCTGGTAAACGTGGAGAAAGTCAGTAAAAACTTGAGGATTGCTTGTCATCACACAAACACTCACTGTGCACAGTGTTCTGAAAGTTTTGATACAATTTGGGGGCACATTTTATAGGAGTGTATTTGCACACATCGTTATACATACACATGTGTGGTTTACATGTGTGTGCATGACAAACGTGTGTGTTTATTTCATATATGCATGTGTACATACTGTATGTATGCATATATGTACACATGCGTATATAAATATACTAATAAATATTTTGTATACATATATACATATACATATATATTAAAACTTAGGATTATATTTCCTAAAAGGTCTTTAATTCTAGTATTCCTTAAGATAATAAAAGCTCTTTGAGGTTAAGCTCTGTTGTATTTTTGTATTCCCAGCACCTAGTGTGGTCTCTTGTACATTGTAGGTATTTAATAAATATTTGGGAACTTTTTTTGCAATTGCTTATTTGCTCTAGGCATGTCAGGGGTTGCTGTCTTACAGCTTTTCCACATTTTGTAGAAGTATATCAGTGGCTGGCTTTTGACTTGTAATTCTTTTCTAGGGTACAATGGCAATTTGTGGGATTATAGATAACTTAGAGGATTTAGAGTTAGAAGGCAATCTTAGAGGTCATCCTGTCTAACCCCTTTACGTAAGAAGACACTGAGGCTCAGAGAGCTTATGTGATTTGCCCTAGGTCATTCAGAGATTGGGAGAGCTAGGAGTTGAAGTTACATTTCCTGGTGTTTGGTCCACATAATTTCCCCTATGCCACACTGACTTCTCAGTAGAAATGGAGACTTTCACCTAGTTAGAGAACTCCTTTAGATCTCCCTCACTGTTGGCACCTGGAAATTGGTGTCAAATGGCATGAAGTAGATCATTAATGTTCAGTACCTCACAAGCAGAAGGATATCACTATCTGAGCCTTAGTTAACTCCTAGTGGAATTCTCAATGATTGCATGAAGTGAGCAAAAAATTAAATTGGCAATGTATACTCTTGTCTTTGATTGACTAGTAGTCCTTGCTGAAGAGTTTTGAGAGTTGATAGTAGTGTTTTATGTTGGGCTTTCTGCAGTCCTACCCATGTGTTGTGGTTCTACCAAAGCAGAAGACTAAAAAGCCTAATATTAATGTGAAAAATAGAAAGAGAGAGGTCACTTGAAACGGAAAAAAAAATGGTTTTTTGGGAAATGCTTAAGGAAGAGGATTCCCTCCCAGTCTTTGAGAGAAATTAAAAAAAAAAATCTGGTTAGATAATTTAAGATGAAACTGTTCAGAGTTCTTCACGAGTTCTTTGTGTAGTAAGTTAAAAAAAAGTTGAAACATTCCTTATAATGAAAGAATTTTTTAGTAAGCTTTTTTTTTTTAAGGCAATTGGGGTTAAGTGACTTGCCCAGGGTCACACAGATAGTATGTGTCAAGTGTTTGGTCTGAGGCCGGATTTGAACTCAGGTACTCCTGACTTCAGGGCCGGTGCTCTATCCACTGCACCACCTGGCTTCCCCCTTAGTAAGCTTTTAAGTAAAGTTTTTGACAGAGTCATGCTACCATTTCGGAAGAGATGAGAGATATATGCTGGACAATAGTGTCATGAGTCATCTTCAGAGCTAATTGGATGTCTGGACCCAAAATATAATCTAATAGATTAATGTCGGCTTGGAAGAAGGTGGTCAGTGGAGTGCTGCAGGGATTGGTGATTGGGCTTGTAATTATACTACCACATATAGATACATATAACTTAAAGGTTGGAAGATCAGATCTATAAGCTAGTAAATCAGAGTTCTTTAATTTGCCTACCCAAGGAAACATAGTTGGTAAAAGATATATCTTGGCATGATTGGAAATTTGTCATTTTTCTCTTCTACTTTCTCATAGGTTGCAGAGTTCACAAAAAACATCATAGACTGGTTCACAGGGATGTGATTATTTTGCTTCAAGGAAATTGCACCCTTTTGATTCTTTTGGTACCCAGCTTCCAGCAACAATAATTTTCTTGGAGATTTATTTTCCTGGAAAATATCTGATGTACCATAACCAATCAAGTTTGGCCAGTAAAGTAAATGTCATTAATGTGAACATAGTTAACACATTTTCCATCTGATTTTTAAAAAAACCCAGAATTCCCATTTTAGATTTTTCCCAATATTTAGGATTGTGTGCTTAAGTTTGTATTTAATTTAAATTATGTGATACCTTTGAGGCACTAGGTGGTCCAGTGGATACAGCGCTGGACTTGCTGTTAGAAAGACCTTAGTTCAAATTCTGCCTCATAATCTTTTTACCTATATAATCTCTGGGCAAGTCACTTCACTTCTCTGTGCCTCAATTTCCTCATCTGCAAAATGGGGATAATAACAGCACCCGCCTCCTAGGATTGTTGTGAGGCTCAAATGAGAATACATGGGTAAGTTGCTTTATAAATGCCAGTGATGGTGATGATGATGATGATGATGATAAAAGATGTATGTAAAGGATACATTGCTTAGTGGCTGTTGTCTGTACACTTCAGAAGAAAGCAGCTTAGTCTGCCTTAGATCAGCTACTTACTGAAAAGTATTCTTGAGAGCTAGAACTTGGAACTTAACACGATCTCTCATGAGAAGATCTCTTCTTAGAAAAAGCTGGATGTGCTGTGTTCGCAACAACTATACTTTTGCAGTATCCGTTTATACCAACAAATATGCAGAATCCTCCCACTCCCCGAAGTCACTTCACTTAGAGTCAAATATGAGTCTTATTTGTATTGTAATATTTGGAGACATAGTCCTGTAGAGAGGTGATAGAAACAGTTACTCCATAAAATAAACTATTTATATTTTTCAGTTTTCTGTTGCTTGAAAGTTGAATTTCCATAGTCAAAAATGTAATTTAACAGTATAACAAGTCCTTATCAGTGTGTCTGCAGTGTTAGCTTTGTGTTAAGATGCCTGATGCCTTTTATAATTTTGAAATTGGTAGGAACGAGTAGTCTGATTTGGAAAATAAATGGGATATATTTTGGACACTTTTACAGTATGAAAAGTAGCATTTTGAAAGGTTTTTCGCACCTCCTGAGCAGCTTTCTTCTAAATCTGGATGAAATTCAGAATTTGTTGAAACAATTTTTGTGGTCTTTTCTTATAAAAATTCTTGGAGAAAAATTAGCTTCACTCTATCTAATTGTGACTGTAGAGTATTCGCTTTAATTCATTGGACACTTAAAAGTTTACTGTTCTGTAGCACCATTCTCAGTTCTGGGGAGAGAGTGTTTGAATAAGATGTGTTTCTTGCCCTCACAGAGCTAATAGCTTTCTAGTGAGCTACACTGAATATATAGATAACTAGAACACTTAAATTCATTAGAGATGTGCAAAACAAAGTACAAAATGAAACCTAACCAGAGATAAAGGAAGACTTCTCAGAAGAAATGGCATTTGAGTTATACTTCAGTGTGGGTTAGCGTTCAAGAGCTAAAGACAGGAAGGAGATCAGACACATATAGGAAACAGCCTGAGCAAAGGCATGCAGACAGGAAGGCATGGAGCATGACTGAGACAGTGGGGAGTGAGGTAAGCCTAGACAGGTGGGATGACAGCAGGTTGTGGTGCCTTGAAGGCCAGGCAAAGGGAATCAAAGTTAACTCAGTAGAGAGGCCTTAAATATTTTTGAGCACAGGAGTGCCCTGACTAGATCTATACATGAGGAAGATTAGTCTGGCAGTGGTATAAAGAACAGATTAGAGGATGAAGAGTATGGAGATGGGAAGACATATTAGTGGGTTAATGAAGTAGTCAAGCAGGGAGAGTAATTAGGGCCTGTACTAGTTTGGTGGCAGTGAGAATAGTTAGGTCAGCATGTGTTAATAAGGGTTTACTGTGTGCCAGGCGCTCTACTAAGCTTTGGGAATACAAATAAAAGGAAAAAGGAAGACAGTTCCTGCCTTCAAGGAAGGAGGGAAGAAAAGAAGGGAAGGAAATTTATATGGTGCCTGCTATGTACCAGGCACTGTGCTAAGTGCTTTTAATAAATAATCTCACTTGACCAAAGAGCTTATATACTAATTGGAGAAGATAACATATAAAGGGAGATGACAAATGAGAGGATGAGTGGAGGGGGGTACTCAGATGGGGCCATGGAAGACACGTCTGGAGAGTCAGGAATAGAGCTCGGAGAAGAGTGAAGGAATGAGTATGAGACTGACCTGGGCATTTCCTCAAAATGGAGGTCCTGAGAGTAGCTCCCCAGCATGAAGTCATGGATGCAAGGGCATAGGGATCTTCCAAGGTAAGAAGGTTGCTGGAGCTTGGAAAAGTCTGGGGAATTGCGAGCAAAGACAGGAGAGAGAAGCGAGAAGAAAATAGAGGCGAGAGAGATTGTGGAGATAGAATTTATAGAACTTGGCAAATGATTTGATTTAAGGAGTGGAGGAGAGAGAAGATAACCCCATGTTTTCAAACATGTAAGACTGTTGAATGGTGGTACCACTGAGAGAAATGGTGAAGTTGGGTTAAGGAGCAGGTTTAGGAGAAGAAAGAATAAACTTGATTTTGGACATACAAGATTTTGAGGTGCTGGTGTGATATCTAGATTTAAATTCTGTTCTCTAGTCAGTTGGAAATGTGGATCTGGAGCAAAGAAGAGTGTTCAAGGCTGAAGGTATAGCTTTTGGAGTCATTTGAACAGAGGTTGTAACTGAAGCCACAAATGAGTGATTATGAAGGGATAGAGTATAGAAAGAGAAGAGGAGGAGGATAAAGACCAAATTTTGAAGAACACATACTGAAAACAGGTCAAGAAGCAGATAAGAAGTCAGTGAAAGAGAAAGTAAATAATTAGAAAAGGTGAAAAGAACTGGAAAG